CCTCCTTCCTGAACCCCACTGTCTCCTAGAGTTCTCTGTTTCTGAGGAAACCTGGGAAGCCAGGCATCCTCTGCCTGGAGAACTCATGGGAGCTGCAGATCTGTTTCTGGGATGGTTTTCCTGCCTCACATGTTATTTCTTACAAATCTCACAGTAGCTTTCAATGTTGAAGGTCATGACCCTATACTGGAAATGATAAAAACAAGCTTCAGATATACCACAGCCTACTCTAGAGAGCCCCGTGGACCTGATGCTCTCCAGATTTCTCTTTGAAATATTAATTTTGATCATTTTAAAGTATGTGCAGGTGTGTGTAACTGCTTGGGTTATGTGCACTGAGTGCTGGTACCCTAGGAGGCCATTGGCATGGGATCGCCTGGCATTGGAGCCTCTTGATGTGGATGCTGAGAATCAAACTGTGGTCCTCTGGAAGAGCAGCAACTGCTCTTAACTGCAGAGCCATCTCTCAGCCACTCGAGATTTTTTTTTTTTTTTTTTTTTTTTTTTTTTTTTGGAGCCTATCCTGGTACTCGTTCTGGAGACCAGGCTGGCCTCGAACTCACAGAGATCTGCCTGCCTCTGCCTCCTGAGTACTGGGATTAAAGGTGTGCACCACCATCGCCCGGCATTAGATTTTTTTTTAATGGTGCTAGCAACTGAATTTAGGGCTTCATAAATGCTAGACAGGTGATCTACCTCTGATCCACATCCCTGCCCAGATTAAAAACCAAAACAAAACCCAAACCAAAGAAAATAAAACATTCTCCTAGCCCTGTCTTTTGAGGATCACTTTCCAGAATGACAAGAATGAGTGGTGTTTAAACTGCTCAGTAGGTGAGAGTATTTCAATCATTGGTTATTAAAAAAATTAAAATAGTCCAACTATTTCTTTGAAAACCATTGTGAGAAGCTGAGTTTGTAAAACACACCAAGGAGAGGCTCAGTGGGCAAAGCACTTGAAGGGTGTGCTGGTTTGAATGAAAATGGTCCCCATAGGCTCATATATTTCAATGCTTAGTCACCAGGGAGTGGAACTGTTTGAAAGGATTAGAAGGATTAGGAGGTGTGGCCTTGTCGGAGGAAGTGTGTCACTCATCCCTCACCTCTTGGCCTGTGGATCAGGACATAGCTCTCAGGTACTGCTCCAGCAACATGAGTGTATGCTACCATACTCACTGCCATAATGATAATGCACTAAGCCTCTGAAATTGTAAAAAAGTCCCCAATTAAATGCTTTTTTTTTTTTTTTTAAATAACAGTTGCCTTGGTCATGGAGTTTCTTCACAGAGATAGAACGAACAGTAAGTAAGACACAGGACAAGAGGGAGAATCTGAATTTGGATCTTCACCTGCATCCTGCACCACACTTGTAACCCCAGTCCTGTGGTGTGTGTGGTTTGGAGACAGTTGGATCTCCTGAGTTCCATGGCTAGCCAGTCTAGCCAATCAATGAGCTCCAGGTTCAGGGGCAAACCCTGTCTAAGAAAATAAGGTGGAGAGTGATAGAGGAAGACACTGGGGACACACACACACACACACACACACACACACAATTTAGAATGAAATCTTTAAAAAGTTTAAAATGAAAATAGAATTCAATAAATAAGAAATAAAGAATCAAATCAAATTAAATATACAAGGGCCAAGAAGATGGTTCAGTAGACAAAAGTAACATGCCGCCAAGCCCAGTGACCTGAGTTCGATCCCTGGGATCCACATGGTGGAAGGAGAGGACTCACTTCTGCAAGTTGTCCTCTGACTCCTCACACATGCCCACAGTATGCTTTCCTCCACCAAAATAAAGAAATAACTGTAAAAACCAAAACCAAACCCAAACAAACCATAAGACACACAGGGTGAGGTGCTGCTTGCAGGGTTGGTGGTAGAGGGAAACCTCCAGACCTGGCCCCTCTATCCCTTGGCGCCAGAAGAATGTCCTGGCACTAGGGTTCTGTTGACAGTGCTTTGAAATCTCCCAATTATCTTTCACGGCAGAGGTCAGCTGGCTGTGGCTCAGAGAGACTCTGTGGCTGGTGAGTCAGGACGGATGCTCACATGCCCGGCTCCAAGCTTCCAGCTGCGATGTTTTTACAGGCCTCCTAGGGAAATCTATAGTCTCCATACAAACACCCCAGGAAAGAGGCTGGGGATGGGAGGGAGATACAGAGACGAGGGGGCTGTGTTTCTTATCTTCTTTCCTCATCACCATCACCTAACTTCAGCCCTGGTGAAATAGATCAGGGAGGGGACCCACAGGGCACACAAAACGATGCAAATCTAGAGTTGGCAAGGGGTTAAGTTTGAAAAAAAAATTAACAAATTACTTTGTGTTTGTGGGAGTAGGGGAGCCTAAGCTTGTGAAGGTCAGAGGACAACTTGAGGAAGTCAGTTCTCTCCTTCCTTCCACCATGTGGGTCCCAGGGCAGAACTCAAACTGTCAGCTGACAGCAGATGTATTTTCCTGGGACACCGTCTCCATGGCCTCAAGGGGTCAGGTTTAATGGGCGAGAAGAAAGGGAAGTGAAGCAAAGGTGAGGGGAAGAGGCTACATGAAAAGAGAGATGGACCTGGATTGAGTTTCAGTCTTGCTCTAGTTTGAGGGCAACTTCTGGTCCTTTTTCCTGACTCAGTTTCCCTTGAAGGTTTCTTCGCCCAACAGCAGCTAGCATAGGAAGGGACAGTGTAGCGTAAGCCAGCCCACACAAAGGCAGTGGATTTAGCCAACCCAGTGCTGACAGCACTTGAGCCACTCAAAGCCTCTCTGGGCCTTAGAGTCTTCCCCAGGAAGGCTGTACTGCACAAGGTGATCTTAGCCCCAGGGCACTGGAGGCTTTTATAGCAGTTCAGGGAACTGGGAAGGGGCAGATGTTTGGCTCCAGAGTACCTGGAATTGGATGCTTCTGTGCTCCCTGGGGCTATTCTACCAATTTTGGTTTCTTGTTATTTGAGGCAGAATCTCATTATGTGGCCCAGGTCAGAAATCTCAATCCTCCTGTGTCAACCTCTTGAGCGACGGGGTTACAGACATGTTCTACTTCTCCCAATTAGCAGTCTTTATTTTATTTTATTTATTTATGTAGCCCAGGCTGGCCTCAGACTTACTACATAACCAAGGATGACCTCTAATTTCTGATTATCCTGCCTCCCCTTCCTGAGTGCTGGGCTTACAAGCAGGTGTCACCATAAATATTTGGTTTTATGTGGTGCTGGGAATGGGCCCAGGGTTTTGTGCTGTTGGTAAGCACACTGCCAACCATTTGTGCTATACTCTCAACTCATACAATCTTGTTCTATAGTTGAAGAAATGGCTTAGAAAGTCAGAGTGCTGTTCTGCCTTCCTTGGTTTTGATCCTGTGAACCCTAGACAGTCTAAAGGTCAGCTCAACTCGTGTGTGTGTGTGTGTGTGTGTGTGTGTGTGTGTGTGTGTGTGTGTGTGTGTGTTAGACAAACTATTTGGGGTTTTTTCCTGAATATTGTTGATTTTTTCTTGAAAACATCACATGATTGTACAAAAATTTCCATTTGTAGGAAGTGGAAGAAAAGCAAGAAACTGCTGTGACCCCTACCCCCACCCCCAGCTCTCCAGGGGTTTTCCTGTGAACAGCTGATTCTCACCTCCCATCCCTTCCCTTCCTCTCTCTCTGTTTTTTGAACTATGATCTTGCTACATAACCCAGACTGGCCTCAAACTCACAGTCCCTCTGTTTCTGTCTCCTGAGTGTCAGGTGTTAGGTGTGCATCACTCTGCCCTATTCCCATCCTGACCTTCCTGATGCCACCTCCTCCCCCATGTTTCTTTCTCATACAAATGAGACTGCAATATAAATTATTCAACTATACACAATAGAGTCAGGTATATCTGTCTTCCAATCTCAGCTCATAGTTCATCATTTGAGTGACCTTGGCCAAGTTATTTTAACCATGGTGTGTGTGTGTGTGTGTGTGTGTGTGTGTGTGAGAGAGAGAGAGAGAGAGAGAGAGAGAGAGAGAGAGAGAGAGAGATTGTCTGAGTAATAGTAATATCTGACTTTTAGGATTATGGAAGATTCAATGAGGTATTATAGGAATAGTATCTAGTAGCTTGGTGCATAGTAAGCAACACACACACACACACACACACACACACACACACACACACGACAGAGAGAGAGAGAGAGAGAGAGAGAGAGAGAGAGAGAGAGAGTTCAGTGGAGCATAATAAGTTAGACACAAAGCACACACTAGATCTTGAGCTTTCTAACCTTTAGCCTCCAGACTTTGCCATGTCTTTGTTTGTTACCCAGACCCGGACCCCTGTCCTCCTCCCGCCCCCCACCCCCACAAATGTGCAATAGTTGTTAAATGAACAACTGCAGGTAGAGTGTGGGTCTAGGGAGTTGAAGTCTGTGGAGTTCTTGGGATGCCTGCCCTGGACAATGCAGGGTGGGTTGGGAGAGTGGGACAGCAGGGCTGGCTGGACCAGCTGTTGCGCCAGGGCTCCATGCCTGGACAGTTGAGCCTCTAGGGCAGAGACTGGGGCTCTCAGCTTAAAGGCTCTTGGCTTAAAAGGAATGTGTAGTGGGCTGCCTCTGCTCAGGAGGGGCTAAAAAAAGCCTCAGCCTCCCCTGGGCTATGTGTGAGGGTTATCAAGGGCTCAGGTCAGCTCATCTCTCTCTGGCCGCTCTGGCACTTAGGAGAGGGTCCATTTGCCTGCCCCTCTCTGGGTTTCCACCAATGGCAGACAGGAAAGGACCAATCTACTCCAGAGGTGCAAGCTGTGAGGAGTGAGGTGTGTGTGTGTGTGGGGGGAGGGGACTGGTGGCCCCAAACTGGTGACAATACAGAGATGTCAGCTGTACCCTGCTGGTGGTGTTTCTTCCTTTTATAGCCAGCAGCAGTTGCTCTTGCCCTCAGCCAGCCCCTCCGTGGGGGCTCCTGCCCAGATAAAAGCAGAAGGAGGCCTTGCAGTCTCCCATCTTCTCTCTGAGGGGCCATCTCTCCGCTTTTGGTTCCTTTTTAGGGCCCCCCTCGACTGGAGACCGCAAGACAACATGCCTCCCAAGAAGCCCGAGCCTAAGAAGGAGGCTGCTAAACCAGCTGCGGCTGCTGCCCCTGCTCCTGCTCCTGCCCCAGCTCCTGAACCCCTCAAGGACTCTGCCTTTGATCCCAAGAGTGTGAAGGTAGGTGAAGCTCAGCCCACCAGGTAGGGGTGGAGATGACAGGGTCCTATTTTCTCTGTGGCTGAGAGATGTTTCTCTCAGGCTAGACAGAGATGAGGGCATGGGTGCCCATGCCCCAGGTCATCGCTCCAAAGGCCAGTAGAACCAGAACTAGACTTGGGTTAGAGGCTTCCTGTTTTAACCAAAGTTTGCTGCTCTGTGCAAAGTGGCTCAGTCAGGCCACCTCCCAAATAGCCCAGTAGAACCCAAAATGGTGGCAGGTGCAACCAAGCAGCCAGCTTTTGTAAAACATAAGATGGGGCAAGCACAGTGAAGCAAAGATGGACTTTTACCTGAAGTAGAATATGAATATATCTTTTACAGTTTATTATTTTATTCTCCATGCGTGGGTGTTCTTACCTTACATGTATGTCTGTGTAGCACATGCATGCAGTGTCTATAGAGACCAGAAGAGGCCGTTGGATCCCTCAGCACTGGAGTTACAGATTGTGAGATGCCATGTGGGTGTTGGGGATCAAACCTGGGACCTCTGGAAAAACAGCCAGTGCTCCTAATAGCTAAATCCTCTCTCCAGCCCTGAGAGGTGGAATATACTTATGAAAGATAGACACATGATGGGAACTAGTGGTGCAACTGGGGATGGGGTGTGAGCAGCCAGGGAGGATGCTCTTGTGTGCAGAGGTATGGAGGCTCACTCCAAAATACACTTTTGGGACAAGAGGTAGAGAAGATAAGAGCAGCCTGGGACCTTCCCTTTTTTTTCCCCTTACACTGACTGGCCTCTCTTTCATGGCCTCAGCTAAGTGGCTCACTCCTGGCTGAGACCTCTCTAACTTGGTGAGGAAACTGGGCCTGCTTTCTTTCCTTTCTTTCTTTCTTTCTTTCTTTCTTTCTTTCTTTCTTTCTTTCTTTCTCTGTGTAGCTTTGGAGCCTATCCTGGCACTCACTCTGGAGACCAGGCTGGCCTCAAATTCACAGAGATCCGCCTGCCTCTGTCTCTGTGCTGGGATTAAAGGTGTGAACCACCAATGCCCGGCTCGGGACTGCTTTCTTTAGTCTCCCAGTTTTATGCCCTGCTTCATCTTGCTCCCTTCACCTGGCTGGTAATGCCCCCTTTCTCTGGAGCTGGTGTGGGCCCCTGTTGACTGACTCAGTCATTTTAGGCCTCCCAGCAATCTGGCCTAGCTGCAGAAGGAATGAATCTGGAAGGGTTGGGCTGGGAAAGAGAGGGTCTGAAGTGTCTAGACAGGACCAGTTTGAAGAGAGGTCAAGTGGCTCAGGGTATGAAGAGCTATTAATATCAGGTCTGGAGTGGTGGCCCCCTTCGGGATCTCACAGGACAGGAGTGGAGGATGGTGATGAGAAGTACAAACAAGGCTCTGTGACACACAGGCAGAGGCCAGAAACCCAAGGCTCTAACTGTGTGGGCCTCCCTAGTCTTCTCAGAATCCAGCTCACACAAGAAATTTAGTACATTACTGTGCCAAGGGGTCAAGACCCTGTTAAGCTCTACCAGGGTTTAGCAGGATTGATGTGTCAAAGGGATGAAGGAAGCTGCCCCATGCCTGGATTTGATTGTATGGCTCCTTGTGGAGAAACTGAGAGTAGTGGAAACCCCGATAGGATCTAGGGGCGTTCTGCATCATTGTTCTTTCCTAAAAGCTGAGCATCTGTGTCCCCTTTGCCTTTATTTCTGACTTGTCTGATTAAACAACATGCCTGGCTAGGCAGTGGTGGTGCACACCTTTAATCCCAGCACTCAGGAGGCAGAGGTAGACAGATCTCTGTGAGTTCGAGACCAGCCTGATCTACAAGAGCTAGTGCCAGGACAGCCTCCAAAGCTGCAGAGAAACCCTGTCTCGAAAAACAAAAACAAAACAAAAAGATAAACACCATGCCTGGTACCTGTCGTCTGGACGACAGCTGCCCAGTGGCATCAAAGGAGCACTCTCCACCTTGATCTGTCACTTCCCTCTGCTCAGTCACCTCTCCTGAAAGTCAGTGTTACTCATGGGAGCCATTCCCTGTTCACATATTGCCCAAATTCCTTTGTTTATGAGATTCCTTGACCACATTGAGAGCAGAGGTAAACCTGAGACCATTGCGTCATGACCACATGGTCAGACTGAGGGCTTCTGTCCTGGTTTCTTTTACATGTCTGCTCCTGGGGCAAAAAGCATCACAAAGCAAGGCAAGCGGTATCTTTTCCAAGTGTAGGTCTTGCTTTTCCTTATTAGGGGAAGGGAGCTTTCCTTTCCTCATTTACCTCCACACTTGGTAAAACCACTCCCAGCCATAGTTTTCTGGCTGAGCCCCTATGCTGTCAGTTCTGGGAGAAGAGGTGAATGAAAATGCCCCAGTGGTGGCACCCAGCACCACTAGGGAAGGGAGGGCCAGGGTAGAGTGGAGTGGGGAAGGACGTCAAAGTGACATCCAAGACAGTTAAAATGACGACTCATGCTTGGTCATCTCAGCTCATGTTTCAGAACTTCCCACCCAGGTGCTCTGTCCTCAGCATTGCAAACCATACGTGTTGGGCGTGGGCACCCAAAACCCATTTCTTCATTCAACACAATATTTTTGAGTACCTACTATGTACCAAACACTTTAGTGATAATAATATCACGGGGGGGGGGGGGGGGGGGGGGTTTTTAAGATTAAACAGGGACAAAGAATCCAGGCACCTGTAACTTATTAGAGTGCCCAGGAGGAAGGTGGAAGGGAAAGCTTCATTCATGGAGATGGGAGGTGGGGGGGGAGTCCCAGAATGAGCAGTACTGAGCACCCAAAGCCAGAGGAGGCACATCTAGTCAGGGGACTGTGAACTAGGGAGACCCTGGGGGTGACAGTGAGATAGCTTATCCATGGCTGTCTAGGGTGAGAAAGAATTTACTTTCCACCCAAAAGAATTGTAGTAACGGGTCACCATAGGCTGTACACTGTGTAGATAGATAACTTCTCTTTTCCTCTTGATGGTGATTTTTTTTAGATTGATTTGTTTTGTGTATGTCTTGCCCGTATGTGGGCCATGTGTGTGTGTCGCCCATGGAATCCTGGAGAGAGCATTGGAATCCTTGAGACTGGAGTTGCAGATGGTTGTGAGCTTCCATGCAGGTGCTAGGAACTGAACTTTGGTCCTCTTCAACAGCAACAATGCCTCGTAGAGCTCCAGCCCTTCTCACTTACCTTTTTGGTTTTGAGAGAGTTTCGAAGGCTGCATTATGTCATAGATTCCCAGCTTTGGGCCATTCATTGGGAGACTGGTTTACCCTCAGCCCAGTGTCCTTCCCTCTTCACCAGTGGCCTGTTGGAGGTGACCAGACTTCCTTTGGAAAGCCTTTGGCAGTCCCTGCCCTCACTCCTATGTTTCTTTCCCTACAGATAGACTTCAGTGCCGACCAGATTGAAGGTGAGTGTGAACAACTCCACGTTCTCTTTCGCTTTCCAGAGAAGGATCAGTGGTCCTTGTGGTAACAGTAATTATTGTCATCCCAGCAGGCCTGCTAGTCACAGTCCTAGCACTTTTTATGGATCAAGTCACTTTATTCTTCTAACAATCCTATGAGGTATAGTAGCTATCACTGCCCCCATTTAACAGGTAGTAAAAGTGAGGCTCAGAGAATGTGGGTGTCTTTTCCATTCTCACATGGCCAGCAGTGGTGGATCCAGGATTCAAATCTGGGTAACTTATTCTAGACCTTTGCTTTCTGCTGTCCCTTCAGAGGGCTTGAGATAGACTTGATGGCCAATATCAAATGATGCTGGTGTCTTTACCTCCCCTCCACACACCCCCTCCCCAACTTGTCAGGATATCTGCAAGTCCTGCTCTCTGTTCTTGACACTGGAAACACTCTTTAGCTTATGGGCACTCTCTCCTCCCTCATCATGGAGTAAGCCTGTGACACGTCCACCCTCCCTGGTGGCAGGGCCAGTGGTGACTTGCAGGTACACTCGTCCATCTGTTGTCTCTGTCACCAACTCTTCTTGTTTTCAATAGAGACAATTTCTGCTTTTTCAGTCTTATATAAAGTGTCAGTAAATGCAACTTTAGGATAGATCTCAAGGGGCTGGAGAGACAGATGGCTCAGTGGTTAGAAGTGTGTACTGTTCTTGCAGAGGACCTGAGTTCGTTTCCCAGAGCAGTTCACAACCACCTGTCACTTCAGCTCCTGCACTTACATACACACATAATTAAAAATAAAATAAACCTTAAAAAAAGAGAGATCTTGGGACTTCTCACACAAGGATGTACTTAAATAATCAGAGAGACTTTTGTGTTGTTTACATTTGGAGGGCATCCGCATCTTTTCTCTCGGTCTTCCTAGCACTGGGTGAAAGGATGCCTGCATTTGAGTTGTAAGATTAATGATAGTTTTTGTCAGTTTCCCTCTAACAAAGCGGTATCAGTTTACTCACACACAGAACATGAGACCTGACACATGTGTTTTGCAGCTGGTGACAAGAACCTGTTTTGGTCATAAACCATAGAGACTCACTGTCAGGCAACAATTCTAGTTAAATACATGCATCTGTAGCTATGTCAACCCCACGGGACCAGTGAGGACTGGAAACTTACATTTCCCATGGGGAATCGTGGTGAAAATTTGCTAAGACAGCTGGTTGAGGTTTTCAGGCTGGGGTTAAGCTCTTTGTAACCTCTCACCCCTGACTCTGAAGCTTTTCATGTTGGGTTATGATGGTCTTATCCCTGTTGTCTCTTTATTTGCTTTTGAGTGAAGCTATGGCCTTCCTTCCTTCCTTCCTTCCTTCCTTCCTTCCTTCCTTCCTTCCTTCCTTCCTTCCTTCCTTGAATTTCTGATTCTCCTGCCTCCACCTCCTAAGTGCTGGGGTTATAAGAATGTCTGACCACACTTGGTTAATATGGTGTTGGGGATTGAACCCAGGACTTCACCTATGCCAGGCAAGCTCTCTACCAACTGAACCACATCCCCAGCCCCAGGGGATGGTTTTGTTGTGTTATAATGAAAATGACATTCTTTGGGAATCGGGAGACTATTTTATTGTCACCAATTCTTCCACTATGAGCTGTGAGATGTTGTTCCTGCCCCCTTCTTCTTCCAAGTTCACTTTATTTATGTGTGCAGGCATATGTACTCATGGAGGCCAGAGGCAGGCATCAGATCTCTTGGAGGTGGATTTACAGGCCTTTGTGAGCTGCCCGTTGTGGGTGTTGGGTTTTAAATCTTGTCTGTTAGAGCGTTAAGCTGTCTTAACCACTGAGCCATCTCTCCAGCCCCATAGTCATTTCTATAAACTTAATGCTATTCAAAGCAAGGATATTTGGTTCTGTTTATTTCCTAAATTTCATGACTATTCAATATCTTGTCTACATCTACCCTTTATCTATCTGGAGCTAGTTACCTTCTTCTAAGCTTTGTGTTTCCTGGGTGCTATGGCTCCAATTTCTTTATATATCCCACCCCTCCATAGGAACTAGCTTCCCACTGTTGACTTCTTCTCTTATCCTCCACCAGATTTACATAGCCTTCTAGAACAGGGATTCTTCCACCATGGAGCTCTTTGCTGCCCGTTAGTTACTGCAGTCTGCTGTCTCTTGAGGTTGTCCACTTGTTTGTCACTGGTACGAGGTGGCCTAAGTGTCACTGCCAGTTCATGTTATTCTAATAAAGTAATTGAATCCAAATTGATGGAGAATTAGCCAGACATGGTGGCAGATGTCTGTAATCCTGGCACTTGGGAGTCAGAGGCAGGAGGATCAGGGGTACCAGATTATCCCCTGCTACATAGCACATTTGGGGTCAGCCTGGACCACGTGACACCTTGTCTTAAAAAAAAAAAAAACCCAAAGCAAAGAAACTGATGAGGAAGTAAGGCTATTTACAAAGGGCCCCTTAGACACCTTCTCTGCAACCTTCAACATGCCAGGTCTTTCTTGTACTGAGCTAGTCCCAGAGGCAGGAGACATGAGAGCCACCGTGGTCTGTTCCCTACCTCTATGATCCATCCACATGCTTGGTATTCTTTTTGATCCCACCAGCCACACATGCATGTGACTTTGAGTCCTCACTTAAAGCTAAGAATCAGAGGACCCACAGAAATGCCAGTTTACCAAAAACTACCGGTGGTTCAGTGGCAGGCCTGGTGTAGTCTGACTTAATGTCATCAGCCTTAATGTCACCTTGTCTGGCTCTGGAGCTCTTGCAGTTGGGAACAGGCAGTACAGATAATAGCTGACTTTTGAATAGGTCTTATCACATTTCAAACTGTCCCCACATCCTGCCACCTCCCAGGACACTCATAGCAGCAGGGATAATGGGCAGAGAGGGAGGGAACAGAGACCCAGCCTGGCTTTTCATACTCTCCTAGGCAGAGCCAAATCTGGGAAGCCTCACTCCTGGCAGGAATAAGGGACTTGCCTCCACCAGGGAAGGATGTGGGGTGGGGAGAAACAAGGAGCTAGCCAATCCTATGACTGCCTGTGAGAAGGGAGCCAGAGACCAGTGCTAGGATAGGTCATGGAGTCCCCAGGTGACTTTGCTTGTCAGGAGATGGGGGGTAAAAGCAGTTTCCAAGGAAAGCCTGGAACAGTGGTTCAAAGGAACGGCTATAGTCTTAAAGTACCCCATTGAGCAAGCCACAGCCCCGGGGGCTATAGCTGTGTGTCTTTCTACAGAGTTCAAAGAGGCCTTTTCACTGTTTGACCGGACTCCAACTGGAGAGATGAAGATCACTTATGGACAGTGTGGGGACGTGCTGCGGGCCCTGGGCCAGAACCCCACCAATGCAGAGGTGCTGCGTGTTCTGGGCAAACCTAAGCCTGAAGGTTAGTGTGGGATTAATGTCTAAATAGTTCAGCACTCATACAGAATGGTCTAATAGCTGGACCCAGTGCAGAGTTACATGGACGCTTGGTGTTTTGTTGTTGCTTGTTTTGTTTGTTCTTCTCAATTCTGTGTGCTTATCTCTGTAACTCTGCCTGTCACTGGTGGAGTGTCTCACCCTAAACTCTGGGTGGTGTGAGAGCTGGGATGAGGCCTCTGGGCCCTCGCCTCCCTGAGTGTCTACTTAAGTGGTCTCTGTCTGCCCTCATGCCCTTTGGAAGAGATGAGTTCCAAGACACTGGACTTCGAGATGTTCCTGCCCATCCTGCAACACATCTCCCGAAACAAGGAGCAGGGCACCTATGAGGACTTCGTGGAGGGGCTTCGGGTCTTTGACAAAGAGAGCAACGGCACAGTCATGGGGGCTGAGCTTCGGCATGTCCTTGCTACTCTGGGTATGTCAGCTGGGCAGGACTGAAAACTGCATGAAAGTAGCTGAAGGATAAGAGGGGCCAAGTGGCATATGGTGGGGTGTATCTAAGGGTCCCTGTATCTGGCAAATCCCTATCCAGGGCCTATTTCCCTGGCCTCTATGGGAACTCCCCCTCCCCATCTATCCCAGGAACTGGGTTTGCCCAGCAAGCACCAGGGGCTGGGAGAGAACAGTTGGCAGAGCAGGGGTTACTCCTGAGGCCTGCCATGGACTCGGGGCTTTTTTCCCTACTTTCACCACTGGTGCTGTGCCCACTTCCAGAGCCTTTGCTGAGGTTTGCCATTAACCATTTCTCAGATCCATAGTGGACTTTAAGCCTCGTGAGTACTTCCGTTTTTCCTTCCCCTTCTCTGTGTCATCACGACCCCATTCCCACACCCCCAGGAGAGAAGATGAGTGAGGCAGAGGTGGAACAGCTGCTGTCCGGGCAGGAAGATGCCAATGGCTGCATCAATTATGAAGGTTTGGTCCTTCTTTGCTTCCCAGGGTTCCCAGGATAAGAGCGGTGTGGGATGGGATGGCCAGCCCAGAGGCTGCAGGATGCATGACTCAGATGGGCTGTGGTGCTTTTTTTTTTTTTTTTTTTTTTTTTTTCCCATCTTGGGACTGAATATCTGATATAATGGAAGGAACATTAAAATATATATTTATTATTGCTGTAGGTATAGATATGGTGTGAATGTTGGTATGGGCACACGTGGGGTTCCGAGGTCAGAAGACAATTTTTAGGAATCAATACTTCCTTCTGCCCTTGGTTCCTTGGGATTGGACTCAGGTCATCGGGCTTTTGTGACAAGCACTTGTACCCACTGAGGCAGCTCACTGGCCTGGGACCTTGGGTTTTGGAGACAGCTCTGTGATAAACCATCATTGTGACTTTGATCAAGTCACTGGCCATCTCTGAGCCTCAAATGGGGGTGGGCATGCTGGCACCTTTTGTAAGCTGTGGGGATCTGTAGTGACAACATAGTTCATGTCATGTGTCTAATATCAGCACAGAGGGAACACATAGCAGAGTTTAGGTCTTTTCCCTCTTCTGCCTTCTCCGCCAACCCTCCAGGAGGAGAATTACCACCTGCTGAAAGGGCATGGCAAGGTTGGAAGTGTGGGGACAGAAAGCAGTGGAGAGGGTGAGGAGCTCCGAGGGGCGTTCTGTATGGCTGACTCTCGGATTTCTTTCTTAGCCTTTGTCAAGCACATCATGTCTGGGTAGAGTGGACTTCTCCAGGGTGAGTTCTGCCTCTTCCTTAAGGTCCTTTGTGGCTCTAAAGGGGCTTATGGATCCACCACATGCGCCGGAAGTCTTCTGTGCTGGGTCTGTGGAGCCAAGGCAGGAGGACAGCCTGGGGCTCCCAGCTTGGTGCTAGTTCTAGCCCTCATGCCTCTGCTGCCCAACACCATGCTCCTTGTCTTTTGCCTTGTCTTAGTTAGTGTTTCTATTGCTGTGGTAAATACCACGACCAAATGCAGCTTGGGGAGGAAAGGGTTTATTCAGCTTACAACTCTCAGGTCACACTGTATCACTGAGGGATGGCAGGGCAGGAACTCAGTGTGCAGGGTCCTGGAGGCAGGAACCGAAGCAGAGGCCATGGAGGAATGCTGCTTACTGGCTTGCTCCTCATGGTTTGCTCAGTCTGCTTTCTTGCAGAGTTCGGGGGTGTCCAGAAGTAACACTTTCTCTAGTGGACTTCCCACATCAATCATTAATCAAAAAACCAAACCAAATTAAGCAACAAAAAACCCTACAGACTTGTCTATAGGCACTCTGATGGAAGCGTTTGCTCAGTTGAGGTTTCTCTTCTCAGATACTCATGTTGGCAAAACAACAACAACAACAACAAAATCCAAAACAAAACAAAACAAAATACAGCTAGGACATGCCCTGTTTTGAGCTTCACTGTTAGGCCCTCTAGCCTCTCACTGGGTCTTTCAGGCCTGGGCCCAGCACAAGCTCTTGGGTGTGATAAAGCCCCATCCAAGTTGGAATCCCTGGTTTATGCCTCTTCAATCCCTTGGTGTAGCGCCCTCCCCATGATGTGGGGTTGTGATAAGGGTATGGGATATGGGAAGGTGACATGCTCTCTTTAACTAGCACTTTTTTTTTTTTAGGTGCTTGACCACCCATGGTGGATATCACAGAGTCGGACTCACATTGTATCACAGCTCTACAACCTCTCAGACCTATGACCTTCCCTGTAAATAAAGAGCCCAGCACCAAGTCTCACCAATCCCTGGGCTGTTTTTCAAAACCTATTAATGGAGTTCATTTGTGTGTGCGTGTGATAATGTCACCGGAGGCCTCGTGTTCTTGAGTTGGATCTGGGAGCAGGTAGACAAGGACAAAAGACCAAGGATCTAGAAATAGTGGCATCAGACACATGAGTGAGAGGCTTTTGAAGGGCCTGCAGCTTGAGGACCCCCTCAGAAAGCTCCTTCTCCACTCTGTCATCCTTAGGTAGAAGGTGGGAAAAGGGATACCCAGGACTGCCAGGATAATACCCCTCACAGAGTCTTCTTCTTCTTCTTCTTCTTCTTCTTCTTCTTCTTCTTCTTCTTCTTCTTCTTCTTCTTCTTCTTCTTCTTCTCCTCCCTCTTCTTCCTCCTCCTCTTCCTCTTCTTCCTCCTCCTCCTCCTCTTCCTTCTTTTTTAAATCGGATCAGGCATGGAAACACACACCTGTGGTCCCAGTGGTAGAGAGGTGGAGATAAGAGGATCCGATCATATTGAGCTGCATAGTGAGTTTGAGGCCAGCTGTACCCATGGGCCACAGCCTACTTAAAAAAAAAAAAGTTAGCTCAACACTTGCTTAGTATGTGTGATTACATTAGATCCCCAGCACTCTAAAAAATGTGACTAAACACCTAGAATACAGAGGATATGATATCATGTAGCATGATAACCATTTTTAAAAAATCAATTCAGTACTTGTCTTAGGGTTTCTATTGCTGTGAAGAGACACTACGGCCATAGCAACTCTTACAAAGGAAAACATTTAATGGGTACAGTTCAGAGGTTTAGTCAATTATCATCGTGGTGGGACATAGCAGCGTATAGGAAGATGTGGTGCTGGAACTTGGAGTTCTATATCTTGACTCACAGGAAACAGGAAGTAAACTGTCACACTGGGCATGGCTTGAGCATATATGAGACCTTAAAACCTGCCTCCTTAATGATACACTTCCTCCAACAAAGCCACATCTAATAGTTCCACTCCACATAGTCTTATGGGGGTCAATTACATTTAAACTACCACAGTAGTGTTAAGAATATTCACACTATGGGGGTGGAGAGATGACTCAGTGGTCAAAAGTGCTTGCTGCTCATCCAGAGGACCCCGGATTTGCTTCACAGCGCCCATATCCAGATGTTCACAACCACTTGTAACTCCAGGGGATCTAATCAATCTTCTGGCCTCTGAGGACACACACACACACACACACACCACAAAAATACATACACATAACACAGACACAGACACACACACACATACAGAGAGAGAGAGAGAGAGAGAGAGAGAGAGAGAGAGAGAGAGAGAGAGAGAGACTTTGTGAGTTTGGGGTTACATAGTGAGTTCCAGGACAACCAGGTCTACAGAGAGAGACCTTGTTTCAAAAACAAAACACCAAAAAAACCACACCCCCAAACCACTCCTTCAAAAAAGGAAAAAAAGAAATATATCTTTGAAGCCTTATGAAACAAACAGTAACAAACAATAACCAGTCAAAAAATGGAAGTGCATTTGTTATCTGCTTTCCCAGAGAGGTCCAGGACTGGCAGTGTTACTATTCTGCTCAAAGCCTCAGGCCCCGGGGCCCCTTTTATACTGTCTCCTCATGTGGGAGCTATCCTGGTGATCTAAGATGGCTGCTGCTTCTCGGCCATCTTGTCCACTGAGGAGTGTTAAGGAGCATTCCCTACTCAGTTAACGTCTTCAGGAACTGGCATCACTCATAAGTCTCCTCTGTGTTGTTGGGGGCTTAGTCGTGTGAAAACAGAAGAAACCCTGTCCTTTTAACTCAATGAAAATGACTTTGGTGGGTGGGGGGGGGGGCATCCTGTGGATGGCTGGGAAGAGGTGGGTCACAGGGCGGCTGCTTTGAGGAAGGAAGAATGTCTGAGTGGTGCCCATAAGGCCGAGATCTCTGCCACCCAGGGTCTAAGACAGCAAACAAAGTTCTCAGCTCAGGTTTCCATGGAGCTGTCTGCTTCCCATCAGAGGGAAAGGGCAGCTTTGTGGAAAGTCCCCCTTATCAGAGGGACTGAGCTGGAGCCGGTGAGCAGAGACTGGCTTGGAGCAGTCCGGCCTCATCCCTGCTTCTTCCCAACTCTGCACCAAACTTCTGATCCAGCCCACAGTCTCTACTACTTGTGGGGAGGTATGAGGAAAGAGGACCTTAGAGACGATGTGATTATGAAACAGGGTCCTTTGAGGACAAAGGCAAATTTCAGAGAGCATGAAAAAACAAGGTCCATGTCCTGAACACCTACCCTGTGCTGTCCCTATGCAGATCACTGCCATTCCCAGCAGCCCAGAAGGTGGGAGTTACTGTCCCCACTGAAGAACATTAAAAAGTAACAGTAATAGTAAGGGCTGGGAATGCAGCTTGGTGGTGAACTCTTGCCTAGCATCTGTGGGTTCAGCTCCCTTCAATACCAACAACAGAAATACCCAAATACTTTCGGTTTCGTGAGGTGGTTGATATTAACTATCAACCTGACACAATCCAGAACCACACATGAAGGCAGTCTCAAGGAGGGATTGCCCACATTAGGTAGGTTGTCCTGAGGGTTTGTCTGTATGTGGTCTTCATTACGTTAACTGAGGGGTGCTGATCCACTCACTGTGAGTGGCACCATTCCCTAGGTAGAAGAGAATCCTGCATTGTATAAGAGCGGAGAAAGCCAGCCGAAGTCAACTTGACAAGCATATCATAACCACTTAGCACAACAACAGCTGTAGCATCCTCATTAGGGCCTGTGATCTCCCCAGTCATGGACTTTGGGCCAGGTTTACCGTGTCCGTTCCTCTGGTGGAGCAGGTCTCAGACTTGCTACTATTGTGGAGGGGGCACATCTTTCCTGGATGATCAGTGGAACAGCAACATTAAACTTACTTTAACCCTTCAAGATCTGAGTCAGGCTTGGCCCTTCCCTGTCAGATGAACACCTCCTTTAAACAGAAGTCTCAGCTTATTCTCCTTAACAGAGTCACAAGGTTGGGAACTGAAGATGTCAGAGCTAGAGGACTTTTAGATTTCTAGTATCACATAATCGCCTGAAGGCAGTGTTTAGCACAGTGCCACCATGTGTTTGGCATCTTGCAAAAATTCTGGTTACTGGGGCATTTAAGGGAATAGTGGGTTGCTGATGGCTGGAGGTGCCATGTCCAGTTCTTACCACTAGATGGCAGAATTGCAACAGAGTGCCTCTGCGAGGAACCCCCCCCCCCTCCAAGTGTGACATGAAGTTCATAGCTTGGGCTGGAAAAAACTTCAGAAATCACTTAGCTTATCTTTGGGTCTTTAACAAATGGCAATCTTGTTTATGTAAAAAAAAAGCACAGCAATTAGCCTGTAAGCTTCATTACAAGGTTTTGCAATGAGGGTCACAGGGAGGTCATTGTTGTGGAAATATGGATTCCCAGAATGACCCAGTTTGACTCCTAAATCATGAACCCACTTTACTTAGTCCCATAGCTTGTAAGATAAGAGGGTTGACTGGATTATCTTAAAAATTTTTTTGGTTACACTTAATTGTGTGTGTGTGTGTGTGTGTGTGTGTGTGTGTGTGTGCGCGCGCGCGCGCGCGCGCGCGTATGTGCATCCATGAGAGTCAGTGGAGGCAAGAAGAACATGTCAGATCCCCTGGGATCTGGAGTTACAAGTAGTTGTGATCTATCTGACATGGGTGCAGGGAACCGAACTCAGGTCCTGTGGAAAAGTAGCAAGTGCTCTTAACTGATTAGCTAAATCTGGTCTTCCCTCTATCTTATTTTTTTGAGACTGGATCTCTCTCTGAATCTGGAGCTCACTGATTTGGCAAGACTATCTGCGGAGTGAGCTCCAGGGATCCTCCTATGTCTCCCTTCCTACTGCAGGTATTGCAGAGTGTGCTGGCTAGTTTTATGTCAACTTGACACAAGCTAGAGTCATCAGAGAGATAGGAGCCTCAACTGAGAAAATGCCTCCATCAGATTGGTCTGTGGACAAGCCTGTACGGTGCTTTCTTAATTGGTGATTGATGGGGGGAGGGCCCAGGCCATGGTGGGTGGTGCCAGTCCTGGGCTGGTGGTCCTGGATTCTATAAGAAAGCAGGCTGAGCAAGCTATAAGGAGCAAGCCAGTAAGCTGCATCCCTCTGTGGTCTCTGCATCAGCTCCAGCCTCCAGGTTCCTGCCCTGTTTGAGTTCTTGTCTTGGTTTCTTCCAGTGATGGGCTACAATGTAAAACTGTAAGCCAAATAAACCCTTTCCTCCCTGACTTGCTTTTGGTCATAGTGTTTCATCACAGCGATAATAACCCTAACTAGGACACAGAGGTAGGCTGCTGAATACATGTGAGCCCTGGAGATCTGAACTCGGCTCCTCATGCTTGAGTTGGATAAAATAAACTTGGGTATATGTGTTTTGATCCTTAAGTGGTGAGTGATACTCATTAAAAAGTAATCATGAATGCACACTTGTAGATTCTTCAGGAAACAAAGCCACTCGTGGTTTCTCCTTCCGTGAATTCATACTCTACCCAAAGGAAAATATAGATGCGGAAAGTAAAGCTATGTTAGAAGACAGAATAGAGTGTTTCTAAGGATTAAGGGAGGGATGAGGACCAGAGCAACCGGAGATCAGAGGAGAGGAGAAGGAAGAAGAGAAAGACAAGGAGGGAGGGCTTCATGAAATAGATGTGGCCAACATGTAGTTAGACAAGGATGGTGGCAGCTGCAGGAGGCTGAGGTGGGAGGCCAGTTGGACAACTTAGTTTGCTGTCTGAAAAAAAAAAAAAAGACAAAAATCCCCAAACGAGGCATGGTGGTCAACCCTTGTAATCCCAACTCTCAGGAAACAGAGACAGGAGTATCAGAGGTTCAAGGTCATCCTTGGTTACATAGCAAGTTCCAGGTTAGCCTGAGTCAAATGAAATGCTACCTCAAAACAAACCAACAAATAAATAAATGGCTGGGGATATAGCTCAGTTGTAAACTGTCTGCCTAGAATTCACATCACCCTAGATTCAATCCCAAGTTAAATAAAAAAGCAAGA